AGGTTTAGGGGTTAATTTTAGGTTTAGCGTTTACAGCGTGCTTTTTTCTCCGCTCTGTTGTCGCGCTGTGATGACAGCTACGCGGTTTCGTCGAGCACCCTTTAGTCGAACGCGGTTTTGTGATGGAACCTTCCAAATGGGCTCTGTTCCTGTCGGAAGCACCCTTTAAGGCGCTTCTGCGTTGAAAGGTTTAGCCGGCGACATCACCGGGTTAGACCCGTGGGGGTTCCTTTCATGTCTCCATCAAGAAGCTGCAGTGAGTGACGGGAGTTCATCCCGCCACGCAGCAGCACTCTGAGCAGGGGAGCATGAGGGGGGGGGGTTGCAGTGTGCACCCTCCGTGCCCCATTTTCGGTTTCAGGAGGCTTTAGGAAGGCCTGCTAGACCCAAAATGGGGCACAGGGTTGTGCACATGCACGGGTGGGCGTGTGCATACACACTGGGGGCAGGGCGCATTGCATTATGGGTGTGGGCACGCATGCGCGCAAATTTCATCACGGGAGGAGAAAAGGGTTAGCCAACACTGTCCTATATGGTCCTATTATCCCTATAATAGGGATGTTTGTATGTTTATTACACTTGTATGCCGCCGTATTCCCGAGGGACTCAGGGCGGCTAACAAACCAAGTAGGTCCTCCTTTTTCTTGCTGGTGGTCCTTGTAGTGATGCATCCCAGAATTTATTTTACATACACAGCTGCCTGGCCACTCCTTACTCTTTTGCAGCCATCTGCTATGAGCACACCTCAAATCCTTTCCTTCTGCTGTTTTGTCTAACGTTGTGCCCCCAGTATTATACTCTTCCAGAAGATTCCTTTTCTCTAAACGCACGGTCTTACATTAAGAAACATTGAACTGCAATTTCCACATTTTTTTTTACCCATTTTCCACCGATGCCAAATCATCTTCCATGTTATGAATAACCCCAACTCTATTACACACCTTTATGTCATCAGCAAAAAGACCAATGAAAACCTTATGAGCTCTATGAAAATCTTCACGATGTAAATCTCTTCTTTATATGGATATGCATTTCATCCCTTTGTCCAATAGCCTATATAATTCACAATTGCAGCAGAAGGATAATTACTTAATAACAAAAGAAACATTCAAGTACACTTTTCCCACACAGCAGCAGAAAAATACAGGAATGTTTCTAAAATGATAGTTCTAGGCTGAAATCCTACACAGATTTTCCAAGGAATCGACTCTATTGAACCCAATGGCATTAGACATGAACTCTGCTGGTATACATCAAATATATAAGAGGATTTAATGAATTTCTTACCCTTTGCTCCAGAGCTGATTGAGTTTGTTGTCTTAACAGAGCTTTTAAAGGCCCCCCTTCTTTTCCAGCACTACCACTTCCCATTCCTAAAGAATATCAGCACGTAAGTCAAAGTGAAATCACATAATTAATAGACATTACATCAAAGTTATATTAAAAATGTGGCACTTGTTTGATTACTAGCAAATGTAGACAACCCTGTGAAAGTCTAACCTGAGGTGGTCAAAAAGCCAGAGTTGTGTAGCAATTAATTTATGAAAAGATGTATTTAGTGGGGGGGGGGGAGAGAGGTAAGCTTCACCTTCATTTAACAGCCTATAGTTTTTAATTATAATTAGCGTGCACATTCCCTACGATTTATGTGCAAGAACTATTAAACGTGATCATGCCAGATGAAAACTTTAGTAAGCTACTGGGCTAAAGATTATGCCCCTCAGTCCAATTTGAACTTTTAAAATCCCAAACAGAATTCAAAAGTTAAATATTTCAGAGTGTTTAAAGATGACATTACCACACTGTAGTCTGAAATACAAAAATTTTCACGTGATTATGTGAACAACCATGTAGATATTTTGACGTAAAAAGGGACTAAAACTTGGAATTCTGTGCTGATTTAACAAGCCCCACAGTTATTAGAAAAAAAGGATATAATCCTACAAAGCTAAAAGAATAAAGGAAAATAATGGATTTTCAAGGCTGAAACGATGAGGCATTTCACATCTGTGTTTACAGGAGTAACTCCATTAAATTTTATTCAGGAAATGTTGTATTTAAGTCATAAAGATATAATTTAAATTCAACGTTTCCAGTATCAGTCTTTGGTATCCCCAATTGTCATAAACACCAAACCTCCAGTAATAATAACCCTTAATAATAGTGAGCTGAATGGATTGCTAATCAGACCCAAGATCCACATTTACAACTAATAAGGAGAGAATTCTAATTTCTCTTAAAAAAGCACCAGCAAACTAATTAATAGGGGGATGCCTCAGTATGTTGGTTAAATCCAATAGTGCAATTTAATATGCTTATTACATAAAGCAGAATTATAGCTGATGTTAAACTTTTCCTTTTTTTGGAAGGATGGCACAAAAATCTTTGTTTCAATAAAAACTCCAGGATTGGATGTTATGTTAAAACTATTCACCCTGTAGCTTATGTGAAAAAAAGAAGAAGAATATGGACAACATAATATAAATTCTACCAGTTATTCGCAAGGCCCTTCTACGATTGCTTGATAGGTTCTTAATCAAATCTGCTCTATTATTCAAGACATTTATACGTTTTAAGGAGACATAGGTCAGCCTAGAATAGCAACGCCAAAACTATTGTACTTAGCCTTCTTAAAACTTCTTATTTCACATTTCAATTTCTCTCCAAGCTGTTCAGTGTAAGCCTCAGTAAAATAAGACTTGGAGAAAAGTACATGAATGCTTATAATTTGGCTACAATAAGTATCTGAAATACATACCAGTAGCCAAATTCTTGCATAAAGATCTTACTTACTTACTTGCCACTAAACATGATTAATGGAATTACAGAGGCCTGCCTACTTGGTCTAATGATAAAGGACAAACTGTCAAAATTAACAATTCATCTAATTTCAGAGACTTTTAAGATTTCCTCCTCATTTGAATTGAAATGTTTGTTTTGTACCAACCCCTGATATTACATGTTCTGCAAACACTTGCAATCTTTGCAAATGGCAGCAAACAGACCTCCCTGCATGATTAAATTTACAGATCGCTGTTCATTCCTGTCCTATTAAAACCTCCATTTTTAGCTGTTTTTTTGGATAAGGAAACAAACATTAGCATCTATATAGTCCCTTTCTGCGTGGTGCAGTCCATCTAATTTTTTTTTCTTTTTGCTGTCAAATCTGTCTGACAAGGGACTATAAACGATACTAAGAGCGGAGACAGAAATGGAATGAAGGCTGTTTGTAGAAATGAAATATACTTCACCCAGAAAGAGAACAAACCCCAAACCGCATTGCTTCACAGCATCAACCAAGTTTACGTTCGTTGAAACAGCCTTGTGAAAGGACAGGCAAAACTGACATTTATACCGTGAACATTTAGAAGGGCATTTAAATTGCAAGTACAAAAAAAAACCCAAAAAACAAAGCAGGACTGATGGCCACATGATGGTTCCACAGAGAAATATGAATGACTTAAAGAAGACAAAGAAGAAAAAGAAGAAATGTTCCTCCCAATCGAAACAGAGGAGCATTGAAACCTGGGCAGAAATGGATGGCTATACAGGCAGTCCTTGACTTACAACCATTCATTTAGTGACCGTTCGAAGTTACAACGGCGTTGGAGAAAATGACTTATGGCCACTTTTCACACTTAATCCAAATGTAGATGCTTGGCAACTGGTTCATATCTACATTTGGTGTGTGTGTGTGTGTGTGTGTCACGTTTACTTCACATATCCTGGACACGTGTGTCACATGTTCCAGGGTCACGTGAACACCGTTTGTGACCTTCTCTCAAACAAATTCAACGGGGAAGCCACACTGATTTAACAACTGTATTGTTAACTTAACAAGTGCAGTGATTCATTTAACAACCATGGCAAGGAAGATCGTCAAATGGGGCAAAACACATTTAACTGTCTTGATTGGCCATGGGAATTTTGGGCTTCATGGTGTAATAAGTCAAGGACTGCCTCTACCACAGATTTATTTAATTTTTCCAAAAAAAAAAGGCCAATTATCTATCTCATGAAGTTTTGGGAGAGGAAAGGTATGATTAAAAAGGCATGATAAAAATGATTTAAAGAAAAACAGTCGTGTTAAACTTGGGGAAGTGGGGAACCAATCCCAGAAAAACAATTATATCAACGTCATGTAGCCAGCAGTTTTGGGATTTCAAACGGGTCGAGGGAGGGGTGGGGGGCAAATCATAAGAAGCTTTCAGACTGTGCTTGGTGCCACTACCCAAACCAGCAAGGCGATTGAAGAGTCATCCTACCCGAAGCAGCCAGAAGCAGCTCTTCAGTGAAAGAAATACTTTTCCTGAGAATTGGGTACACAGGGCTAGAGTGAAGTGGGTTAGAACTAGACCCGGAGCAGAGAAGACGGGGCCTTGGCAGTGGTGGGGAATGACAAGATAATGTTGGGGAACTGGGAAGCAGGAAAATCTTGGGTCCCCACAGGGGAAGTGCTGCGGAGAAAAGCAGTAAAGAGATGGTAGAGTTCAGAAAATGACAAAAAAAAAGAAGAAGAAGAAGAAGAAGAAATCAAGAAGAAAAGAAAGAAAAAAAGCAACATGAATCAAACAAAACCAGATTTGTTAAGAAAAGCACAGACAGCGAGCAGCATTATGATCCGTTACGGATTTACAATTCACAGGATGACAAACGCAACGTGATGAATGGGAACACTGAACATGGAAACCTTCTCCTATTATTTTAAAGCCATGAAAGTATGCTTTGATTTATTTTATTTATTTTTTAATTGCAGCTTATTCCAAACTGAATGGGTTTTTGCGGGAGAGGAATACCCATTTTCCATGAGAGTTTAAAAAAAACAAAACACATAAGTTAAAGAGGTGAGATGAACGGTGCAGAAATGTGATAAACAACAAACAAATAAATAAATAAAATATTCCCCCTTTTCAGAACGATTTTGCACTTTTTGATAGAAATGGGAGCAGCTTGCTTTGAAAGCCTTCCATTAAAAAAAAATGTTACTTTGCATTTTGATTTTGCAATAAAATAAATAAATAACCGTGTTCTCTTCTTTTCAGTTTCCTCCACATATATACTTTCTGGGTAAGCACCAAAATCCTCATTCAGAAAATAGTCAATCTCTGCATTAGATTGTTTAATTTAGTAAAGAAAGCACAATTCTCGGTTTTAAGACCCCATAACTCTAAACCGTAATACAACACCTCTACAGCTAAATTTCCCCTTATATCGTACGTATTATAATTAGCGGTGAATCTGACTTATTTTAAAGCACCTGAGGGCAGAACAAATAGGAAGGGATGAAAGAGCATTAAAGAGAGAAGCAACCTAAAACTAAGGAGAAAATTCCTGACAGTGAGAAC